CGGGACAGGAATGGTTGGGAACGTTTCCTTTCACCTAAAACCTGAGTTTACTTAGCAGGAAATAGGTATCTGGGAGTTGTTGTGGGGTTGCATCCTGTGGAGGGGTCAGTAGTTCGACCTTCCTTAGCGGGAAACTCATTACAAGTTTAAATCTTATTATTATATTATTAATAAGAAGTGAATTTTGGAAGCTAATCTTAATTTGAACGTTATTGTATCGTCCCAGCTCTCGTCTGACCATCAGCACTCACGTTTTAAAACTCTTTTCACTTTCCTCGTGTCTATCATGCTGCTGCTTCTCTCACTGAGTGTGTCATGCTCTCACTCCCCCTCACTGAGTGAATCATACTCTCACTTCCCTTATTGAGTGCATAAAACTCACACTCTATTTTCGCTCCATTTTAATCTAACTGAAAAGGTATTTTGAGTCGTTCTGTTTTTCTTCTTAGTTGTGGTAATTTTTGGCTAATCTCTCGTCGTTGTTACAGCGGATTAAAGAGACATCTGTACGTTTTAATATAATTGCTGGAGCTATATGTCAGTTTTAATACAAGGATGTGCGTACATGAACGTTAATCAGGATGAAAGACTCTCTTATCTGGCTTTAATATCACGTGATAAGCTTCTTACTTAACTCAGCTCGTAGTTAGACCAATTAAACGAGCCACAGCGATACTTTTTGTAGCCTGTGTTGAAAACAAGCTTTTAAAAGAATTTTGATTCATGATCTAAATGTCTTTTCGTCTGGTTCAAGCATTGTGTTCATGCTAATCTCGTCATGAATAAGGCATGATATTTCCCCATATTACAAAATCCCCCAACTCTCCTTCTGTCTAACTCAACCTCTCGCAGCAACGCCCCTCCCACACAACTCATTCCCCTCCATCTATCCCAATCCCCCCCTTTCCCCCTCTCCTCCGCCCTTTTCCCCTAATCTTATTTTCCCGTCTCCTACGTCACAAGTGTTGGTAGGTAATCTAAGGGATGTATGTTCGTTTATTTTGCACAACTAGCCGCCCAGAAGCTACATGTTTCACCTTTGGAGAGATGTTTGGGCGTAATTCTTCACTCGAGACTCCAAATTGGGTGTCAGTGAATGGTTTTAGGTAATACGTTCAATAGATTTTCCTCTACAGCGCTGGCATTGACCCAACTCAAGGTAACCTCAGTGACGTGGGTGGCAGTAGTTGTTATTCATTGTTTTTTAATCTTTTATTACACAAGTAGGATGGTGGTGGCGGTGGTGGTAGTTGTAGAAACTGTAGCAGCGGTGATAGTGGTAGCTGAGGTAGTGTCAGCGGGAGTGGTGATGGTGGTAAAGGGGACAGCTTCGGCAGTGATGGTGGTGGGTGTAAGGGGCAGCACAGTGGTGGTGGTGGGGGTGGAAGTCCAGACGGGTCAAAGGGTCGACCCCGTCAGCTGCCCCTTCGCCGCCACGTGACGGGGGAAGGGAGAGGGAGGAAGAGAGACTCCCATGCCAGCAACTCCCACACCAGCGACTCCCTCAATAGCTGTGCTCACCTCACCTACAGCAACCGCAGTTCTTTTTATTATTATTGCCAGGGGGAAGGATCTCATAACGCTTTGCGTATTAGTGGCTTAAGGACTGTACATTTCTTACCTAAGAATTATTCACTATATCAAATATCAAATGTATATACCATTATATACAATAATTATTAATATTATTATGTGGATAACAATAGAAAGATGGCAGGGCTAATCCCGAACATCTGAATAAAAAAATTATTTATCTCTTTACATAATTCTAAACGTCTTTAGATAGTTTTGAATAAGTCTTCGGATCAGTCAAATAGTCTTCCTACGATGATAAATTGTGAGCATCGACGGATCACAGCCTGTATGAGACAGTGTGAGGGGATCACAGCCTGTAAGAGGGGCAGAGTGAGGGCATACATGAATGAAATAAATGAATGAAGGAAATATATGACTGAAGGAAATAAAAGAATGATGTGAATAAGTTAATGAAGTAAATAAATTAAGAAAACAAATACATGAATGAAACTAATAATTGATTGGGCCAATAAATAAATGAACCCGATAATTGAATGAACCAAATGAATAAATGAAAGTCATTAAGAAAGAACATTTAAATTAGAAGCTGTAAATACCAAATCAAGTTAGACTTCGTCACAGAAAATTGTACTTAAAGAAATCTCTTCAACTTTCACCTTAGCGCTATGACTACTTTGTATCAACTGTCGTGGCACAGTTGACTAAGGCGAGTCTGGAATCACCCCGGGCGTAGTTTCGAACCCTCATCACGGCCTTTGTGGATTTGTTCATCTTTCTAATGTCTTCAGGCTGAGCCGGCGGCTGAGCGGACAGAACACTGTACGCGTGATCCTGTGGTCCTGGGTTCGATCCCGAGCCCCGGCAAGAAACAATGGACAGAGTTACTTTCACCCCTGATGTCCCTGTTACCTAGCAGTAAATAGGTACCTGGGAGTTAGTCAGCTTTCACGGACTGCTTCCTGGGGGTGGAGGCCTGGTCGAGAACCGGGCCGCGGGGACACTAAAGCCCTGAAATCATCTCAAGATAACCTCAAGATCCGTTCCTTTGCCGTCCCATTGATTCCTTCACATCCCATATACCACTGACAACCTCCTATCTCCTCGCAAATTTTCCCCTGCTAGGCCCCAATTTTCCCTACCAGTCCCTCATTTTTCCTGGCAGCTCCCCCCCCCCCATATCCCTGCCAGTCCTATTGTCTCCCTACCATCTCCCCTGCTGCTATAGCCACCCAAACAATTTCACAGGGTTTCTAGGCTTGATTATTTAAAGAGGTGGGCGGTATGGCCTTCCCTTGTGGACACGTCAAACTTTGTTCCTATTAAGTCTTGCCATATGAGGCGCTGTAGGAAAGGGGGAGGGAGGGAGGGAGAGAGAGAGAGAGAGAGAGAGAGAGAGAGAGAGAGAGAGAGAGAGAGAGAGAGAGAGAGAGAGAGAGAGAGAGAGAGAGAGAGAGAGAGAGAGAGAGAGAGAGAGAGAGAGAGAGACAGACAGACAGACAGACAGACAGACAGACAGACAGACAGACAGACAGACAGACAGACAGACAGACAGACAGACAGACAGACAGACAGACAGACAGACAGACAGACAGACAGACAGACTGACAGACAGACAGACAGACAGACAGACAGACAGACAGACAGACAGACAGACAGACAGACAGACAGACAGACAGACAGACAGACAGACAGACAGACAGACAGACAGACAGACAGACAGACAGACAGACAGACAGACAGACAGACAGACAGACAGACAGACAGACAGACAGACAGAAGGGGAAAATACCACTGGAAGTAATTTTATCTTTTATAATCCGCTTTCACAAAACAATTAGATTTGACTTCTCCATTCAGTTAATCTCAACCAGACATATTTGAAAAAAGGAGTCGTCTTCGATTATTGGAAAGAAAAAAAGAGACGAAAATATATGGGATGGTTGTGTGTTGGGGGGAGGGGGAGGTGTTGTGTGGGAGGTGGAAAGGGGGAGAGAATAATAGGAAATAAATTTTGCTGGCTTGGCCCCTTCCCCTTCCATCCTCTCTCTCTTTCCCTTCTCCCTCCCACCCTACATTACCCCAAACCCTCCGAAGGGTGGACAGGGCCTGTCGGGACAATGGTTAAGTTCTTAATTTCCGACAAAACCGACGGATGAACAGTTCTCATTTTATTTATGATGTATTGCTTCAAAAAAATAATAATACAAAAAAAGGAAAAGGTGTCGTGGTCATGAGGAGTCTCTAATGATTATCTTTATTACCGGAATAATTTAGAATAAAGCGAGACATCTGGATTTATATTAAGTAGATGCAAGGGGGGGGAAAACTTTTCCCAGCGTTTACTGTTTCTTAATAAACAACATCTTCCTCAGAGGACGTACAACACTTATCCGTTCTACCCCTCCCCTCTCCCCCATCCCCCATCCCCCCTCCCCCCTCCCCACTCCCACCAACACCTTCCCCACTTATAACATCTTCACCTACACCCCCCCCCCCTTCACCACACCAATCATCCTTCGCCACACATTCTCAACATTTTGCCCACCAACTCTTCCCTTTCTTCTTGATGCATGATGCATGCAGACGTGTCATTTAGGTGCATCTGCAACTTGTGCACCACTACTCTCTTCCCTGCCACACATTTACAAACATGTTATATTAAGTGTGTAAATCACGAAAATAAACACGTGATTAAAAATGTGACAGTGTCAGACCACGGAGGAAAATTGAAACAGGAATTTCCACTTTCGTATATTAATACATCTTCAGAAGGAGTCCTTCTGAAGATGTATTAATATACGAAAGTACTTAAGGAAATTCCTGTTTCAATTTTCCTCCGTGGTCTGACACTGTCATGTTATATTAAATATGAAGAAGAGGGTTAGATCATAGTTCTAGGACTAATAATCTTTAAAATATACCTTATGTTCTTCACTTGGGAAGAACTTTGAAATATAAACTCTCCAAAATTCATTTAACAGTTTTATTGGGGCTCAAGCGTGTCATTACAAGACGCAAAATAAAAAACACCAATTTATTGATACATATTAACCACAGCAAAAAACAAAATCCCATTAATGTCATTCCATCGCGTAGGGCAGTTTGTTAACCCTTGATGACGTGTTTAGTGTTGGTGTCGTTGACCACCGCCCCTCCTCCGCCTTCACACCAGCTCAGGTTATCAATAAAACGCTATCGTCAATAACTAGCATGTCCAAAATACCATAAAAATCGCCCAAGAGGCCCCAAATAGGGGTAAATCTCAGAGGGGTGGGAGTTGGTGCATTCCCTGGGCGGCTATGCACGCGACAGGCCAGGGACGTGACAATGGCGTGGCTGCCCTCTGATTGGCCGACGCTGGTCACGTGACGGCCGGCTCGCCAAAGCGTGATAATGGCGAAGTGCAGTAGGCCTGGGACAGTAGGCCTATCAGTACGGCCATCATCTGTCGCCCGCGCGCTGTCATGAGCTCCTATTTTGCCAACGTGGCCGCGGCTAGCAGCTGGGGCGCCGCCGTTCAGGACCAATATGCTTACATGCAGGGCTCAAAGAGCCCTGTGAGCTATGCTGACCCCTCGCAGGCCTACACGCAATACGGCGCAAGCATACATGGATACCGTTATCCCAGTGCATACTCTGGGCTGGGGAGCACGACTCCGATCAAGAACGAATACGACCAGACCAGTCCCAACGCCTCCACGTCCTCACTAGGCCCTACGACGTGCTACGACCAGGGGTTCTACGCCTCCATGAACTCCCCCAGGAGCGGGAACCAGGCCACAGCTCAGTCCTCTGGCTTGCCAGCTCTACCTACAACCCCTTCGTTAGCGGTGCCACAAGCGGCAACCAGCCCAGTGAACAGTGACTACCACAGTGTCAAAATGAACGCTTGTTACATCAACACGATGAATGGATTAACCCCGCCGCCAGTGCCAGGCCCCACCCACCCCATGAGCCCGACAGACACCCTCAGCCATGTTTACGGTGGGTCTGCGTCAGCTTGTGAGAGTGTCATGCAACCCTACACCTCCAAAACACAGACGCCGGCCAACTACTTTCAGTGGGTCAAGGCCTACCCGGCAGGTTGGTTCCTCTTGGAGTGTTTTAGTTTGACTTGGATATCTTGTTTGTGTGTGTTTGTTGGATTGAGTGCGTGTTTTTGTTTCAGTGTTTGATGGGTATGCATGCTTTGTGTGTGTGTGTGTGTGTGTGTGTGTGTGTGTGTGTGTGTGTGTGTGTGTGTGTGTGTGTGTGTGTGTGTGTGTGTGTGTGTGTGTGTGTGTGTGTGTGTGTCTGTGTGTGTGTGTGTGTGTCTGTGTGTGTGTGTGTGTGTACTCATCTAGTCTGTGTATTCACCTAGTCTGTGTATTCACCTAGTTGTTTTATGTGAGTGTGTGTGTGTGTACTCACCTAGTTGTGCTTGCGGGGGTTGAGCTCTGGCTCTTTGGTCCCGCCTCTCAATTGTCAATCAACTGGTGTACAGATTCCTGAGCCTACTGGGCTCTGTCATATCTACATTTGAAACTGTGTATGGAGTCAGCCTCCACGCAGGCCTACAAGCAATACGGTGCAAGCATACATGGATACCGTTATCCCAGTGCATACTCTGCGCTGGGGAGTGTGTGTGAGCTCTGGCTCACACGCTTGCGAGTGTGTTTGTGTGTGTGTGCGCATTGATTCATTTGTTTGTGGGGGGAGAATGTTCACGCGCGTGTGCGCCTGTGTGTGTATTTGTGAGTGTATTTATGTTTGTGTGTGTGAGCATGCGCGTACGCGTGTGTGTGCTTGCAGTGTACATATGTTTTTGTGTGCGTTGAGTGTATTTGTACTTACCTACATGTTGTTGCATGATCGAGCACCATCTCATAAGCTCTCCTATCAAATATTTTGTTATGGTTTAATGTCATATCTTTCTTTTCGTAATTATATTGACATCCAAACCTCTGCACTGAGAGTGTCTGTTTATATACGTGTGTGTGTGTGTATGTGTGTATATGTGTGTGTGTATGTGTCTAGCTGTCCCTGACACTGCTAGCTGCCCCTCCCTTCCTCACACCCCTACTCAGAAGCCCTCTTTCCTGCCCCCTCTTTTCATCCATCAGTTCAGGGCTCACGTTATGGTCTCTGTGGCTGATTTGTGGCATTTCACCAGGGGCTTCTCCAAGGTTCAACTTGCTACCGTATCTTGAGGTTATCTTGAGATGATTTCGGGGCTTTAGTGTCCCCGCGGCCCGGTCCTCGACCAGGCCTCCACCCCCAGGAAGCAGCCCGTGACAGCTGACTAACTCCCAGGTACCTATTTACTGCTAGGTAACAGGGGCATTCAGGGTGAAAGAAACTTTGCCCATTTGTTTCTGCCTCGTGCGGGAATCGAACCCGCGCCACAGAATTACGCTTACTCAGTCTTACTCCCCGTATTTACCCATTCTTACCGATTTGGCTCGTGGCTCGAGGTCTGGCATCACACAAAAGAATAAAGAAAATAGGACAAAATATCAATGGTGGTGGTTGTGGGGAGCGGGAGGGGGGGGGGGTTGTGATGGTGGAAGGGGGATGTGGTGGTGGTGGTGGTCCGAGGGGGGGGGGGAAGTGGTAGGGAAGGGTGGTAGTTTCATTGGTGGTGGTGGTCCGGGGGGGGGGGAGGCAGCGAGGAGCTTACCTAATAGTGTTTACCCTTACAGTGACTACGGTGAAGTGAGGTCTAACGCTTTACGCACTACTAACTTTCCATTACGTTACCATTTAACTCTCCTGACATTTGAATTCTTCGATTCATTTACGTTTCCAGGCTCCACTTATGCCATCTTGTCCTACTTATTCTCTCAGTTTCAAGACGCGGTCCTTCTTCATCTCGCCTGTTCCCCGAGGAATTTCGCATGTTATGATCATATCTCCTCTGTCTCCTTTCTCCTCTAAGTGTTTAACAGTATTAAATTTTATCAGTATTAAATTGTATAAGTATTAAACTGTGTTTTAATACTTACAATTTTAAACAATGTTAAAATTTTAAACAATATTTAAAATTAAAACAATATTAATGATAATAAATATATTAATAATATAATAATAATAATAATAATAATAATAATAATAATAATAATAAAAATAATAGTGAGGATGATAATAATAATAATAATTATTATTATTATTAATGAAGAAGCATAATAACCTAAGGAATACATAATTAGACAAAAGACAGAAAATCTAACCTTAAACCAGAGTAAAAATGAATAACATAAAAAAAAGGGAAAAGTATCATAAAGTTTAACACCAGCAGAAGCGATAAAGGTCTTGAGGCTCTAGTGTGAGTCTGGGAGGTACGCCTCCAGGCAGACCTCGACCACAGCTGCTCCTGGGCTTTGGGGGAGGTTGTGGGTGATGGTGAGGTGGGCCAGAGGTTGGTTCGGAGGCATGCTGGGCAAGGTACATTGTATTCACCTAGTTGTGCTTGCGGGGGTTGAGCTTTGCTCTTTCGGCCCACCTCTCAACTGTCAATCAACTGTTATTCTCTACTAACTATTGTTTTTTCCACACAAGTACACACACACATCCAGGAAGCAGCTCCGTAACAGCTGTCTAACTCCCAGGTACCTATTTACTACTAGGTAACAGGGCATTCATGGTGAAAGAAACTTTCCTCATTTGTTTCTTAGTGTACTCACCTCACCTAGTTGTGCTTGCGGGGGTTGAGCTCTGGCTCTTTGGTCCCGCCTCTCAACCGTCAATCAACAGGTGTACAGATTCCTGAGCCTATTGGGCTCTATCATATCTAGTGTGAGGTGGCGTTGGTGTGGGCATGTTTTGTGAGGGTGGTAGTGTGAGCAGATCTTAGCATGGCGAGGAGGGGCTAGTGTGGGACAAGTTGGAGAATGGGCATATAATACCTTAGGATAGGATGGGGAGGTAGGGCAAGGCGGGAGCAGGGAGCACGTAACTAATTGACATTTCCACTCGCCCAGGGTCTAATTACGATTTAAAGCCTCTCACTGTATCACCAACTCCGTGGTTAATTCAAAAATTTTACTCACACACACAAGTTTTAGATTTATGATTCTGGCAAGAATCTTCTCGATGTATGTAATAAAATAATTTTGATAATATATATATATATATATATATATATATATATATATATATATATATATATATATATATATATATATATATATATATATATAGGGGTACCACCTCTAGTGCAATTGTGGGAACCCATAGCCTCGAAGAAGAAAATAAAGAGTATTCAGAGAAGACCTTGTGGGTTCTCACTGGACACTTTAATATTTCTTCATCCTACCACTCCCATTCTTTTTTATTAGGATTATTTTATTACACAAATCGAGAAGATTCGTGCCAGAATTATAAATCTAAAACTTTCCGTCGTTTTCAACGAAATATGTCTAAAAGGACTGCTACTCCCCACTCTACCTCTCTCTATATATCTGGTATCAATGAAGGTAGAAAGACAAAAAAAAGACAGACAAACAGGCAGGTAAACACTGAGGTGTGAGGACAGGTAGACGGGGAAGGGGTGGAGGAGAAGTAGGGACAGGATGGGATGGTGCGGTGGGAGGGGGGGGGGGCAGAGGGGTCCGTGGGATAGATGGGGGAGAGGTGAGGCCAGGTAGGTAGGCTAGAAAGGGCGGATTCACGGTGTGATCCTGAGATTAGATAGAACATGTGTCACAGAAGCCACACACACACACACACACACACACACACACACACACACACACACACACACACACACACAGGGGTGTGGGGTCTGGTTGCTTAGTTAGGGGGTCTGGTAGCTGAGTGTACTCGCCTATTTGTGCTTGCGGGGGTTGAGCTTTGGCTCTTTGGTCCCGCCTCTCAACCGTCAATCAACTGGTGTACAGATTCCTGAGCCTACTGGGCTCTGTCATATATACATTTGAATATCTACATTCACATCTACATGTGAATACCCACCACCCTACATCCCCGGCGGAGGCGGAAACAAATGGGCAAAGTGAAACTAATTTCACTTTGAGGCCCCTGTTCACCTAGGAATAAATAGGTGCCTGGGGGTTAAACAGCTGCTACGGGCTGCTTCCAGGGAATGTGTGTGTATGCGCGTGTGTAAGAAAAATATATGTAGTAGATATAACAGAGGACAAATAGAATGGAATGAAAGGCGGGGTTCAAGAGCTAATAGCTCGATTCTGCAGACACAAATAGTAAATACAAATAATAAATACACACACACACACACAAACACACACACACACACACACACACACACAGTCACAGACAGATAGGGTAGATAAAGACAGTCTATTTAACACAAGGGGAACACGCACAAGGGGACACAGGTGGAAACTGAGTGCCCAAATGAGCCACAGAGATATTAGAAAGAACTTTTTTAGTGTCAGAGTGGTTGACAAATGGAATGCATTAGGAAGTGATGTGGTGGAGGCTGACTCCATACACAGTTTCAAGTGTAGATATGACAGAGCCCGATAGGCTCATGAATCTGTACACCTGTTGATTGACGGTTGAGAGGCGGGACCAAAGAGCCAGAACTCAACCCCCGCAAACACAACTAGGTGAGTACAACTAGGTGAGTACACACACACACACACACACACACACACTATACTGTGCATTAAAAAAAGCTAGGCTTCACTATTTTGTAAAACAGAAAAGGGGCAGCGGCAACATGATCATGACATACAAGATTCTTAAAGGCACTGATTTGCCTCTATTTGATTGGATAGAGAAGCACTTTCACTAAAAAAGAATTCATTAAATTAAATGACAATTTAAGCGACTCTAATTTCAGTTAGAAAGTTGCCATCGGATCAATTCCTGTCATTATACCAGATTAACAATAACCAGCTAGTGATTACTAATAACTAACTAGTTACTGCATAACGAAATCACATTATCGTAATGCATCAATGAGAAAATCAGCCGTCTAGAGGTCGTCAGGAGGATTCGAACAGGGGTACACCCATGCACACGTTAAGAGATCTAAGTGCTTAACGTAACATATCTACGAGACAATCTTGGGAGTAGGCCGTGCTTCTAACGGGGTGGAATAGGAGAACCCGGACGCAGGTTCGATCCCAACTCCCTGCTCGATTTCCTCCGAGTAATATAGTCTCTCATGGTAATATAAAACAAATAGGTAATGAATATTCTCTGTCGTAGTAGAAGAAACAGTGAAGTCGACAGACTGGTAAACAGACAGGAGGGAAGAGAGACATGACCCGGGAATATCCAGGCAGGTCCGGAGATGATTGACGTCCAGAGATAATACCGGGGCATTTCCCGGCATAAGATCTGGGTGTTGGGGATCACTGGGGATACCGGAGGGACAGCCAATGGCATACTGATGTGCCCCACACGCTTCTCTGGCAGTGTGTGTGTGTGTGTGTGTGTGTGTGTGTGTGTGTGTGTGTGTGTGTGTGTGTGTGTGCTTGAGCGTGTAGTCGCCTAAATGTGTTTGCCGGATCGAGCCCAAACTCTTGAGCCCCGCCTGACCAGCTGTTGGTTATGTATTGACACGACTACAGTCCCTCCTGCTTCCTGTTACATCGTCTTTTGAAATTTAGGATGAATTTGACTCTACTGCCTCTCCCCCCCCCCTTCCCCCTAATGCATGTTATTTTCTCTCTACAGTAACGTACAGAGATCTATCAACATCTCCTTCACTCATCTGCACCTTAAGAACCCCCCACCCTTCCCACCGTCCTGTTGTCCGGCCCTGCTCTATGCTTAACAGTTCCCGTTTATCAACCATATCAATCCCTTGAGCATTTCATTTGTTGTTATATCTTCTCTTCGCTGCTCTTGTTTGTGCTGGAATTTTTAAGCAGAGAGAGAGAGAGAGAGAGAGAACAACTCGTATTCTCATCTAATTCGTCTCATTTTTTCACGCAAACGATCAATGCAGTAAAAGATGCGTTGTAATAGTAAAATCATAGCGCCGTAATGCTGACGTTTTCAAGGTATCGGCGTTGAAAGAGTAGGTTGATTGCTTGGGTTCGTATGTTTCTGGTTAGGCAAAACCGCTGTATTTGTTTACGGTCCGGCAAATTGAGAGAATAGGCTGGTCAGATAGACAGACAGACAGACAGACAGACAGACAGACAGACAGACAGACAGACAGACAAACACACACACACACACACACACACACACACACACACACACACACACACACACACACACACTAAATGAGAGGAAGCGAGAAGGGAGGGGGAAGAGAGGTGCTCCCTCGAGAGTTGCTAATTTGCACCTGTCTGGTAGAGGGCAGGTCACAGTCCCAGGGGATTTATCAAAACAGTAGGATCTGGTCATAGTGTAAATGATCACACTCTAGTTGTTGCTTCACTGCTCAATTGTCTCTCACTTCTTCGGTGTCCTGCGATTGTTCTAAATTTGCTCTACTATGTGTTTACTATGCCCTCTCCTCCATTATAAGCTTACTATGCCCCTCTCCTCCTTTATGGGCTTTCTATGCCCTTTCTTACTATGCCCATTATGTGCTTCCTATGCCCCTTTCCTATACTAAGCAGTAACTCTTCACGTATTATCGCTACAGCTCCTTGGTTTGTTTCTGGCTAATTTGATGGTATGTTTTATTTCTGACTAATTTGAAGCTATGACTTTTTTTGAGTACCAAAGATGGATGTTTTGTTTATGAGTTTTAGAGATACGTTTTAATACGGTTGTAAGCAGAATTTATCAGTGTTTTACAAATTCAGCTGTTAATTTCTGGGTTAATATAATACATTTAATATTTGTCTTTGTTACTAAACAACTTATTACTTGTTTGATACTGTTACTAAAACACAAAAATACGTTTTAGTAACACATTTTGTATATGGCATTTGCATTGTGTTTCTTTATTTAATTTTGGTACTGCAAACACAATATTTCCTTTTCAATAATAATAATAATAATAATAATAATAATAATTTATTAACAAGAACGTACAATGGGTTTGTGAGATTACACCATAATGGTATTTTAATTAGCATTGATGACCAGACCACACACTAGAAGGTGAAGGGACGACGTTTCGGTCCGTCCTGGACCATTCTCAAGTCGATTAATTAACATTCTTGCAAAGCCACTAACACGCATAGCGTTTCGATTGTAATTTATCAACAGGCATGAGAAGGACAGAAAATAACAACTTAATAATTTTAGTAAATAAACTCATCGTCCACGTCTTTTAGTTAAATAAGTTTATTATAGACGCTAAACCTATCCTCTGAGCGGGGGCGGAAATGTTAGTCACATAATGGTACCATAGTACCATATCACTGTACCATAGACCACTTTGGTACAGTAGTCTACATCCTCGACTCAAAATCGAGAATTGTGGATTGTTCCCGGTGGCGAGAAAGAAAAGTTTAGGTACTATCCCTTGGCGACTATGTTTACCTAGTAGTCAACAGGTATTAGGGAGTTAGGTAACTGTTGTGGCTTGTATCCTTGGTAGGATAGCAGTTGATGAAGGAGGTGGACCTGGATAAACAAAAGTACAAAGCTTACTATTCTTGACAACTGCAACTTTTATTTAAATTGTTTCATGAACTGGAGGCCCAATAGTTTTTAAAACAAGTAATTGCTATGCACTTTCTAACAAGTCTGATCTTCCAGCAGGGCAGGAACCCGGGGCGGGGCCTAAGAGGACCCGTCAGACCTACACCAGGTACCAGACCCTCGAACTGGAGAAGGAGTTCCACTATAACCGCTACCTGACGCGGCGGAGGAGGATTGAGATCGCCCACGCCCTAGCACTAACAGAGCGCCAGATCAAAATCTGGTTTCAGAATCGGAGGATGAAGGCGAAGAAGGAGTCAAAACTGGCGGGCGACAGCACAGGAGAGAAGAGTGAAGAGAGTGAGAAGGACGCTAGCGACATCAGCTCCTCCTCCCCCGTGCTGCTGCCAGGGTCGCTGACGGGGACACTGTCAGCCACATGATGGAGCAAAACACCTATCTTGGCAAAGATTTGGTTCGTGTATATGTACTGTTGTGTGTTTGGTGACGACTCCGTTGTTTTTTCATGTACAAAGTGGACTCAAATCCTTGATAAAATATACCTTGAAAACTCGATTTTATATACAATAGCAACAAGTGTAGCATGTTAGTTTCTATTGCATAATTTTATATGTATTATTGACACACATGGTCATGTTCATGATGAATGTTGACCACTTCTGGGGATCAGAGCCAATGCTATGCTTCAAAAACGTAACTTTCTTAACTAATTTTATGAGTAATTGCCCTGTTAGCTTGATAGTGCAATATGATATGAGATATAAACTTATGTTGAGTGTGTTTACCAGTACGTGCAATAAAGAGGTAATGACCTTGGCCAGGGGATGGCCTGTGACCTCACTGGGGAGAGGTGTGAATCCTTATAAGCGGGATGATACTCCCGCCAAGGTGTGAAGGTCACCCTGGAGCTGACGGGATATTGAACACAAACACGCACAAACTTTGTTTTTTCTGTCTCTGTCTCTCCCTCTCTTTCTCTATCCCTCCTTTCTCTCTCTCTCTCTCTCTCTCTCTCTCTCTCTCTCTCTCTCTCTCTCTCTCTCTCTCTCTCTCTCTCTCTCTCTCTCTCTCTCTCTCTCTCTCTCTCTCTCTCTCTCTCTCTCTCTCTCTCTCTCTCTCTCTCTCTCTCTCTCTCTCTCTCTCTCTCTCTCTCTCTCTCTCTCTCTCTCTCTCTCTCTCATGCATGTCTTTTTCTATTTTCTAGCAGTGATCTGTAATGAATGATAGCTTAGTAATATTATAAATAATGTCTCTTAAACTTTAGAGCAGCAATGACTCAGGCTCGTGAAGTCCATTCGTGTGTAGTGTTAGAACCTTCTGAAAATGCAATCTGTACGGGTACACATTTAGTTAGTAAGTAGAAGCATAACTCTGAAGGACTAGTCCACAAGCTACCATAATGTTTGATCATTATCTTACAAAACTATAATCTCTCTGGGTTGTATAGTTACTACTGCCAATAGTACATAACATTCACTATAAGCTAAATTTCCTCTATGCATTTTCAGTAAGTTAATCTGCGATATTTAGTAAGTAAACGATAGTAAATTTATATATGTGGTATGTTTATGCATTCTTCCTGTGTTCTGAGTTGTTCAGGGTAAGTTTAGACGTAGTTCGTGTTCTCGGTAGCTCTGTATATTTATAAAGCAGTTAGTTAAGAGTAATTTAGTTCATTATTTGCCAATAAAGTTTTGATGTTAGTATGTTCTCTTACATAACAAAAAACGAGATGATTTTATTTAATTTGGTATAATTGATATATGTACAGTGTATACAGCAGTTCAATATGTATCACTGTGGAATAACCTCTGGTGAATGTTGTAGTCACATGCAAACAAAAAACTCCAGCAATATTTACAGTATATTTTCGTTTGCATGTTAGGTAAAAATAGAACAGTTTTTCGTGAATTTCCTCTTAAACTGCATGTAAGATATAACTGCTGTATGTTTGCTCATATGAAATACTGAAATATTCCCTCGGGTATCACACTTTATAAACCTGTCAAGTCAACATATGTTTAGTCTGACAAAATTGGCTAATATAAGTAATATTTGCAATCTAGGGCGCATGACCTCCCTGGTTCCACAACCTTGTGTGATTTTTTATATTTTTTTTTATAAATACCCATTAGCCCTGCCACCTTATCCTAACCCAGATATTGACAAATGACCCGTGAGATCTTCCGACTCACCAGTGACTGACAAAGCGACTCGCACCTTGTCAAAATAGCCATCATATCCGGCTTGTCTGACGAACACCCATTCATCACCGCCCAATTTCCTGCACCTCACTGACTCTGCCCGCTGAGGGGCCCATAAAACCTCGTACCTTTCTCACTTCTATTCATTAGTTTGTCAATTATGGGCTCCGTGCTAAGCGGGGAAAGAGGCCCGGAACGAGTCAAGCATGTAAATGGTATAGCGGAGGCAATAAATGGCTTAGCCTTGACCTTCAAACTGTTGTAAAATTAATTTTGTGTATAGGCTTCGGCTAGTCCTCTCTGGTCAGCCGAACAGTGGGCCTGGATGTGACGGGGTGTTTGGGGATGGTGGCAGCTGACAGTGTGGTGATGTTGTCAGCTGACAGTGTTAGTGGTGTCAGCTGACAGTGTGATGATGATCGTTGTTTGTTCTGTGGAGGTAAATGGCTGCCAGCATAAATATAGTGATGCTTGTGAAGACAGTAACTGGTGAAGTGACCGTCGTAGAGGCCAGTGAGTGGGTGGGAGGGAGGTAGTACGCCTCATAACAGGTAGGCAGGTGTTGGGGCGGTGATAACTGGGACTGTGATGAACTGTCAGTGGTGCATTAGGACAGCAGTGGGATGTATGTTGGATAGAATGTGATGATTGCGACAGCAGCTGGTGCGGATGTGGCAACAGCTGGTGGCGATGTGACAATCGCAGGTAGGGATGTGAGAGCAGCTGTTAGGGATGGGAGGGCAGGTGGTGTCGATGTTTAGAAAGATGTTAAAGAAGCGGGTTAGGATGTGACAGCCGCTGGTGGGGATGTGACATTAGCTGGTAGGGATATGACAGCCGCTGGCGAGGATGTGACATTAGCTGTTGGGGATGTGATAACTGCATGTTTTATCGTGTGACTAGAAAAATCACACGATAAAAGCGTGAATTGATTTACGAAATGTTTATTTCAATGGTTAAGTGTGCACCAAAACGGTATTTAAATATTTCGTCCAACAATAAAGGTTATTTATCAGTAAAATATAGTGAAGGTGAATATATCCTGCCAATTTGTTCCCGTATTTTAAAAGTTCACAGTTACGTGTTTAAATATCACCAAGATTCTATACATGGTAAACACCTCCATAGAAGCACCTGATTAACCGGATTACGTACAGCTGCATCTAATAGCTTGGTGGATGAGACCGTTAACCAGGAAGCAACCCGAGGTAATATTATGAGAATGTAATTAGCTCTGACCAAGTCAAAACCCCGATAAAGACCGAATTAACTGTTCTTAGTCCTTTTAGACTTCTCCGTAAAAAGCCTTTCCTGCTTCTCAGCGCTGCGGCAAAGCCACTTCCGGCGATAAAATTACTCGATCGATGATCTGTAATTGTGATATGTGTTTCATAATCAGGAACATTTATCTTACAGCGGCGATGACTGTGAGTTATGCTAAGGTGATGGACCGAATTATTACCGGCTCGTAGCACCTGCTTCGTTCGCTCTAACAAAGACGGGTATCGGATGTGCTCATACATGGTAAATACACAGTGCACGTGGTCCTTAATACGGAGCATGAATAACATCTGTTATTACTCGCACAGCTGCTCAGGTGTTGTACCATGCACAAACAAACACCTTTGTTTATACGTGACCTGTCTGGTATATCTTGTGTTACTGTATATGAATAATGTTCTACTGCATCTGTATCGTGCTTGTGCAATGTGCTACTGTAGTTCTGTATAATGTGTATTTGTATCACGTGCTACTGTATCTGTATAATGTGATACTGCAATCTTATCATCCACTACTGAAATTATATTATGTCCTACACGATTTTATTTAAAAAACTGTGACATTTTCAGTGCGTAAATTGCTTTCAGGATTATTATAATTATAAAAAAGACATGTGACTTTGGCTCTTTTCAATAACATGCTGAGGTTAAGTAATAAGTAAAGAATATATTTTATATATATATACTGTATAGCAGCAGTAGGTCCAGAGCTCGCCGGAATGCTATGACAATATACAGCCTGTTCATTCACTTTTGACATAACCATACATAGTGAATGAAATTGCATATTTATATATGAAATGACATTAATGTAAGGCAATAACAAGAGCATAATGTTCATATATATTTATATATATATATATTTTACAACGAATGTAATAATATTTTTTGTATTTCTTCCAAAACATTGTATTTGTACAAAGGATGCTATGTATTACTTAATAAATATAAAAATACAATCGTATTAAATTACAGACTTTAAGCAATAAATTGAGTATGAGATCTATTTTTAATTTATCTTGAAAACTTTTGTTATTTTGCTAAATTCAGGACTTGACTCGCATATGCCAAGAGGCCTACTTTAATGTTGTTAACCATCGTTTAATATCCCCTTACACAATATTTAATAACTAATGCTCGACAATTTATTGAGCTTTTATTAAGCTTTTCATTCACATTTTTGTAATTAGTTTCTTTTAATGGTATTATATTCATTTCCTTTCTATATTAAAATTATTAATAAATATATTCCTTATTAATAATAAAGAATATACATGTGATGACGACTTATATTATTACATTAAAGAGCGTTAATGACTTAATATTTTGAAAAAGGTTTCATATCTATCACAGTTTATTTCACTTTCACTCTTCAACTGTCTTCATACACAGTTGTCTTGATTTCCTGAATACTAATTTGCCAAATAAGTCACCAACATCAACAGTGTTAGTTATAAATTAATCACATTGTGCTCAATAACGGAAGGAGCTGATAGGCAATGTTTCCCTATTTATAGAAGGGGAAAATATAATATTCTGTATGAATATAACTGTATAAGTTCAACATAATAAAGCATCAACGATTAAGTATGCAAAAGAAATTACAACACGCATCAATTCCTAAGGAACCTAATAATATAATGAAACAAATATATAGTGTATTGAAACAGTTTGATTTTATCAAACGACAATGTAAGCAATTTTCACAGTATAAGGGTTTACATAGATATAACAAAACTAAATGTTCAACCCACGACACACTAACAACATTCATCAAAGCAGTACTCACATAGCTAAGGAAATATAATCATTATGATATGTGAAGGCAAGACGTAATGAGAATAAACGTCGAGTTTAATAAATAAGTTTCTGAGACCTCGCGTCATGTGGGTGATTCCGGGGGTTTGTTTTGGTCCGTGAGGCTCGATGACGTAATCACTGGGAGCCACGCTCTGATTGGCTAGTTTGTAAATCAAGATGGCGGGCGGCGGAGTGCTGCTACATCGATTCGGTGAATATACACAGAATATTCTCGTTTTATCGCTGCCTTTAGGCGATGCGGACTAAGTGTATACACTTTGATGAGGGCAGTGGTATGATGGTGTCAAGAAACTGGAATGCAAGTGACCAGGGTTGAAAATACAGCCAGAAAGCCTAGGGGGTACTGTATGGTATGGTGGTGGTTGAGACGCCAGCCTATTGTACCGTTAAGCCCAGAAACGCCAACCCTGGGAGTGAACTTCTATTTTCGTTTCACGGCCGTTTAACGTTAAAGCAGTTGCTATTGTGTCATTTTAATTACTAAACGCTATTAACGAGAGAAGGTTCAGTTTGAAATAGCACAGTTAATTACCCTCTTAAAGCAGTGTTGTGCATTTCGCATAGTAAAGGACACTAGTTTCTAGATAACGTTATCTGGTAATTTTATTAATATTGTTTTAATTTCGATATGTGACTCAACACAGGGCCAGATATACGACCCTGGCGCGTTTTTGCCTTACTGAATGTGCTTAATTTGAGAATGTGTTCATCGGCATTTATATGTGTAGCGCGTTCAAGTACTTTTTTAGAAGGTGCATTAACAATATCTCGCGTCTAGTTATTAAACTGCAAATACCTACATTATTAGATAGAATAAATAATAATTGCGAAAAGACTGTCACTGCCAAAAATGGGTTGTGATACTTTAAGAAAGTAATTCATTTTATGTAGTAACAACAATTACAAATATTTATTATAAACACCATTTTACGTGTAACTTCATATACAGTAAATAAATTTATTATCTAATGTATATATATATATGTATAATATATATATATATATATATATATATATATATATATATATATTTATATATATTCACTTATTTCGCGGTACTTGATAAGTAAAATTAAAGCCCACATGTAAACATGATAAGCATGGCAATAACTGAGCAATAAATGAGAATAATTAAACAGAATTAAAAAAAAATTACACAAATATTTTAACAAGAGGAATGAGAAAATGTCTATTTACACACATTAATTACGAACATTAATACTGTATAATTTTTTAATTTTTGTTTACAATGTTTTATCATATGAACTTGGTTTACAGAAGGGCATCCAAATAATGATTAAAAAGGCATATTTTCCACATCTTTAGAATCGTGTTTACACTTCTTAGATCATTCATGTGATTTATAACTGAAATATAAATTTTCGCCATTTCCTACCAGAATCTTACGCATTTAATGCCTCTGAAATTCAAGGTTATCATCGATGTTTCTTGGTAAATACCACAAGTCTTGCCTGCGTCGTGCCTTTAGCTCAGTTATAGAGTGCTTTCAGAAAAGGGAGCACTGTATTGTGATATATTGTATTGTAATATTTGTACTGTCGAGAATGTAATTTATTTTTATTTATTTTTATATTTTATTTATATAGAAGGTAATCGGATTGTGAAAGTACATAGATTGGTTATTGAGTGTTGTATTCTTGCAAAGTCAATTACACTGTTCTTACTATCAATTCTTTAGCATTTTTACTTAGTATTCATTTATATCAGATAACATTGATAGCAATCATTCTTCTTTAGTACATACATTTCCCAATCATTGATCACACTGTTAAACTGTATTTCCCGCCGACTTTTTCGTAATTTTATTTGGGGTAATATAGACTTATATGCGATAGACTGTGCATGGTTAGGTTAATTAGATTAGGTAGTTTCCAGCAGTCCCATTCAAATGGTGCACCTATTCTTAAGGCTGTATCGTAAGCACGGTGTTAATCTAATATCAACCTTATATCTTTATCCACAGAGGCGACAGGCTGGTCAGAAATTGCCATCATGTAAACTCAAAGATATACGATTGCAGCAGTGCTAATAAAAAGAAAAGGAAAGATTGCAAGAAACATGAAACGAATTTCAATTAACACTTAGTCAATCCGTACGTATAAAAAATACGGATGTAGGAGAAATATCACAGGTGAATTCAGAGCAGCAGTAGCGACTGCAGGGTGCACAGTGACTTTGCAAGAGACGGTTGAATAATGTAGGCTTTATTATGCTGACAATATTATTAACTCAAGTAAGGTGATTGAACAGTGAGTAATCCAAAGCAGTGACTTCATGCCAAACATATTCGTGTAGATGCACCAAGAATTACAAGGATCAACTTTATTACTAGCATTCCTCAATCGTGTAGCTCCTTGACTGTATAAAAGGCTGATATGTGTGTTGCTTATATTGAGCGTGTCAGGGATTAATGTCGACATTGTTGCAAGCACTCGCAAAGTAAGAAAAAACATATCCTGTTTATAAGTATTTGTTATGAAAATCGAATACAGTACTGTGTATATATATATAGTATATATTTAAAGAATTATAAATACAAAATAGGATTGCCAGCGTCTGTCTTTTATTTATAATAGCTCTTATTTATGTTAGTTGGTTAATTGACCGTATTTTTATGCAAAGAAAACTTTTTAATTATAGTTATTACGAACACGAACACACAAACATTTATATATATATATATATATATATATATATATATATATATATATATATATATATATATATATATATATATATATATATATATATATATATATATATATATATATATATATATATATATATATATATATATATATATATATATATATATATATATATATATATAAGCATAAACAAAATAGTTAACCTTCACACGTTTCCTTTGAAGATTTTGACAGCAAAATAAATCCATATGCAAGTTTCTTGCAAAGTACAATATTATTTATTTCATGAAACTTTATTTTAATACGGTCACGAAGTAATACATTCTTGTAACATTATTAAATATATTTTTAACACAAATTAATCTGCCTAATATATGATCTGTACAATAGAAATAAAATAATTTTTAGATTATTATCTGAAAGCTTTTATGTATATTCTAGCTATAATACCATACAATATTCTGCTTTTCACGTTGCATATTAACCTCTGCATATCGGTTACCATTGATTGCATGCCGTAAAACTTAAACATGCATATTATATTATTGATTATCCTTGCAATAACACAGCGTGAATGACCCTTGTGATCGTGTGCACTGGTGCGTTTGATCTCTTGCTACCAATTATGAGTTGTTGAATGCATTTTATTACATTCTATTGAAGGTAAATTAAAGAATGCATAAGATAGATTTTGTAGCACAATTGCACTGATGTTTATATGATAATAAAACACTTCAGCCTAAAACAATGTGCACATTTAAATTAACTTAACGGGTAAATTACATAAAACATTTATACTATAACAGGTTTAAAGTGGCCATTCGTTGAACAAAAATAACTACAGATTAACCAGAAGAAGTGAAACGCCTAACCACTCCAAAAACCAACTTGACAAAACATAAGTGCGCGCTCACAACTCTTCATCCACACCCGCCAACATGTAGGAATCCACCAACCATGCAAACATGTGAATCCACCCACGCCTATAAACATAAACTGATACATTCATTTCCGAAAGTATGCATAAACACGAAGTCAACATATAATTGTTCACTCATTAAGCTGCCTGTCTATTCACATTACGCAGTTGGGAACTTATATTCTACGCGTACGGAGAACGGGACCTTTCCCAGATATGTAGAACATTTTCTTCCCGCACGCAACAATGAACTTTCTACCCGCACGCAACAAGGAACTTTCTTCCCACAGCAGCTAACATGGGCTAGCAATCTGTCCATGCCCGAGAAAATATGGACCAACTCGTACCCGCAAACTAGGACCCTACTTACGCTCGTAAACAAAAAATCGTGATTCCAAGCGCTTGTCGGATCTCTTCACAACAATTAGCTTTGGCGACCCAGAGAATGCTCGTCTGGGCCGTCCGCTCCTCGCAGAGTGGCCGCAAAACTCATAAATTGTGGCGCGGGTGGCCGTCTGGGAGCATTCTCTCCTCCCAGCAGCTCTCTCTCTCTCTCTCTCTCTCTTTCTCTTTTACACACTTATTTACCTTCTCTTGCGCCTTTATTTGCGTAAAACTACACACACACACACCTAATGCATTACAATAGAATGCATTAGGCAATGATGTGGTTGTGGTAAACTCCAAAGAGTTTCAAATGAAGAATTATATGATAGAGCCTAATAGGCTCAGGAATCAGTACACCAGTTGATTGACAGTAGAGAGGCGGGACCAAAGAGCCGAAGCTCAACCCCCGTAAGTACAACTTGGTGAGTACAAAATATTCTCTTTTTTTAAATAACCATCACACACCACTTTTACATAGAATATATCTATAATTTAATAATAATAATAATAATATATGGAAGTAAAGGTGGTTTGACAGTTTGAAAAGTATTTTTACGCTGTATTTTACGCTATTAAATTTTTATAAAATATATTTCGTATGTAAGTGGTCCTTATATATTAACTGAGAATTCCTTGAGAGTTTTTGCTCATATTTTGATGCAATTTTAATTCATATAAATATTTGCTGTTTATATTTATTTTATTTATTTATATATACAAGAGTTCTTACATTCTTGCACAGCCACCAGCACGCATAGGGTTTCAGGCAGTTCTTATGGTCATCAATCATGTATTATAATATAAATGATAATAATAATGACAGTAATACTAATATTAATCATGCTATTAAAACAAAATAATATTATTAATATGAGTATTTATAATTAGTTATTTTGAAAAAGTTTGTAGGTGAAAGCAAATGATTTTTATTTAAAGACAATAAAAATAATGAAAATATATATAACAAAATTAAAATATTAAAATTATAATTTTGTATTTTAATTCTTGATAAAAACAGGGAATACAATAATAATGATATTGTTATAATCAAAGTAATAATAGTACTAAATCATATAAATAATAACAATAATACAATAAGTTCACTATACAAATATATGCTCAAATTTACCAACTTGTGTAATAAAACTCAGCAGTTTTATTGTTTTTATTGCGTGTTGAAAACTTGATAAAAACTTTTAACTCTCGTCTAAGTTAGGGAGGGGAAAACTAATAACAAAGGTATACAAGACGGTACACTTAGGCAAAGTTATCACATTGCCGATGTAATTGATACGTAATTTACAAGCTTATTGTAGTTTAACCAAAACTCTCTTACTCACCCTGTTCCTCCCGCCTGTTAGAGATTATATACGATATGATAATTATAGTTGCAAAATGATACGCGTTATTTAAAGCGTGTAGCGTGATGGAAGAGAGAACTAGCAGTCAGTAGATTGGGTGTTTTTTGTTTTTTATAAAGTAATTTCCGGAGATTTTTTTGGGCAGTGATTAGTACGTTGCTGATCATTATTTTGAGCAGATAATATCCAGTTAGCTTGATGAGCCTGACTTGCCGTTACAAAATGAGTGTCGATGAATGATGGTAATTTGAGATAGTCGCTGTTTCTTGACACAACGGTAGAGCAAGTCATTGTCTTTAAATTGTAATGGTGAGTTTTGTTATTATCGTTACATGCAAGAGTAAACCACACAGTTTTGTGTTTAGTGGTAGTTAATGCTCTTAAAGTTCTGTATACATGTAAACTTGTGGTATCTATAGATGCCGAATCATTAATTGGGGATAGTGATAATGCGGTATATATATATCATTACAACTATAAGCTCAGAAACGAAACCTCAAAGTTTTCTTAGCTAAGCAAGTTACAATTTAGATAATCTCCTTACGAAGTTTAATGTACATTACAAAATATTATATTTAACAATGGGTTCGACCACAAGTACAGTTTCAAAGCTAAGTAGCCGATATATTCGGTGAGCCAGTTTCATAATATGATTTGCTAATCATGCACGCCATATCCCCCTTCCCCATCCACTAGGTAAACAACTGCAAACTTTGGGAGTATACTTGTGGTGATTTGCTTCAGAAAGTGGCGACCTCTGGGCACTGCGGTGGTGGGCGGAGCGTAAGTTGGGGATGGCGGAGGTCTGACGTTGCTTTTGTACCAGAACTATGCGGAATTGAGATGTATATAGCTGATAGATTTAGGAAAATGAAGGATAGATCGTTTAAACATGGTATATTGAATACTAGAAATTATGCTGCACCTCACAGTTTTCCAGCGATCTCAAACATACACATTGTTTACTAGTGGATCTTTAGCCGAACGGCTTGACCACACCAGCTGACTGGCCTCCCAGGAGAGAGAGAACCTTGGCGATACAATAGCGAGGTAACATTGTTCCACCGAACTTAAGTTGTAAATTCCCATAAAACAAGCTCCTCGTAACGGCGTGCCTTGGTTGTCGTGTCTATGAAAAAGCACACAATCATGGGACAATTATTGACGACCAGGAATTAGGAGGTGCAAGCAATAAAAGCCCTCGATAAAATGCGGAAGGCTACCACTTACATCCTACCACTTGTTTTTGTTTTTTCGATGCATTACCGAGTCTTTTCTTCAGCATTATGTACTGAATTTCCTGAATCCCAAGTCAAACCGCTTTGATAGTTTCCTGCAGTCTCCCGTCGCCACTGCCTTAACTAATCCTCCACTCGCCACGATGTTAAATAGCGAAATTTTGGTTTGCTACACCATCTCAGAGAGGTATAACTGTATATGCACAGTAATTATATATATATATATACACCTGCACCTTGTCAATGGAAAACCCGGGTCCCTGAATATTTAGTTTGCCTATTTGCTTGGAATTTAGAGAAAATATCTCAGTATTAGCTATTTACCAATTACAGTACCAGTCTTTACTGTTTTAGAATATTCATATTCTCGCTATTTGTATGTACTTCATGTAAGATTTCCAATCCATAATTCAAAATAATAATGATTTTAATAGGTGTGAGATCTTTCAGAACAGTACTTGTACAAACATCGAAATAGTTTTCGCAAGTTCTGAATATTTTGAACAGCGTCCAGAATAAATAACCAAAGAACAAACACAAGTCACTTACCAGGCAATCATGTTTAAAGTTGTCATCAGACATAATTCATACCAACGTGTATAAATAATATATAAACAATATATAAATAATGTCTAACAAGAATCAAAGAATTGTAGAACAAACAAAATCATCTGAAACCATAACTTTACTAAATGCAAGTCTCATAAGTACAAAAACTGAAACATCAGCACTATGAACGCAACTCAGTCAGGCAGTGCTTCAGTACTATATTCAAGACTACATGCATGGTTCTGACGGAGACAGAGACGGAAAGAAACGATGGAGAAGGCGGTGGAGCAAGAATAAAATAAGAATCGAAGGATTACTTTGATTGTAAAGATCAACAGCCCTGAGGCACGGTCTCTGAGCAGGCCTCCTAGATGGAGGTCTGGTCGACCAGGCTGTTAGATACAACTGTTCGTTACCTGACTCGGAAATGACCGAAGAAAGTGAAAGAGACCAGTGGAACCTCTGTTATTTTCTTTAATGTAATGGGACAAGTTCTAGCAATTTACATTATTATTAAAATCATTTCATTGTTGCTGCTAATGCCTTTTTAGTGTTTTTTTTATAATCATTTATGTCTTCTGCTTCGCTTTCATCATCATATAAAGTTTTATGCCATTTTAACATATATTAAATGGTAAAAGTAATTATAGAATGTTTTACTATTTTGCAATAGTCATACTTTTTATATATTATTCTTTATTAGAGTTTTTTATATTTTTCTTATGGTAACAACAAGCCCTATTATAATTCGTTGCCTGTATGATGCGATACAATTTGTTTTTTAAGTGCTGTAAGTAATATATCAGAGAACGCTGCTGGTAATATTCTTAATGGTGTTCCTGGCTGAATTCTCTCTCAATGGCTGACGAATGGCAAAAGATTAGGATAACGAGATAATAAACGACGAGCAGCAATGGAAAATAGCAGAATGAAATAACCTTCATGTCTTCCCCCACATGTCATTTTTGTCAGCTTTGAGAGATTGCGTGGGTGGGGTTGAATTGACAGTCAACTCGTGATCTTTCCTATCAAATGTAAATGAAATATATATATATATTATTAAAGAAAATATTATTTATATATGTTCTGCTGAGATAAGATTGACAGGCGAACAACATAAAAAGATGTTTTAGGTGATTGATGACAACTTTTTATTATATAACGTTTTAAAAGAGTTAATTTTATTTTTTTTCCAGGCGTGATCATCGTGCATGAGGCAGGAGGCGAGGGGAAACACGCATGACAGGCTCATGACGAAGATGAATGTGACGTCACTGTGAGGGGTTCTGCAAGGGAGGGGAAAGAAAAATAAGGGAAAACGGGAAGAAAGAATACAGGGAACTCGAGGGAGAGGAAAGCATGGGAAGTGAACCAGAGGGAGAGAGCGAGGGACCGAGGGAGAGGTAAACAGAGTTGCCAAAGAAAGTTATTTTTGGTTAATTTCTATTTATTTACCATTTTCATTAACAGAACTCCGATGATTCAGAGTCTAATCATCATTTGGATATTTGTGTCTTACTATTAGTGCTAAATATCCAATGTTCATCTGAAAGAGGTTAAAATGAGATGGAGAGAACCTGGGTGGATTTTTGTACTTGACATAAACTTATTGCCTCTTCGTACGACCCGGGCGGAAGCAGTGATTTATTGAAAAAAATAGCTCCTTCTCGCCTTTGACTGACACGGTGGCGACGTACGCGGGCAGAGCAGCACTATTAATGTTCTGGAATGTAATTATTCAGTTTACAATACTTTATCATTATCGTAATGTCCCTCGCCCGAAAATATTATATAAAATACTTATATTGCTTGCTGATTGTGTAATTGGCTGTATGTGTGATTTTACTGAGCAGAATTTGTATCATTTTGTACTATTTTATTCCTATTCAAGGAACTTTGTTCATAGCCCAGTTGAGCTTACTTACACCCAATATCTCCTGATAATTCTTATTAAGTTGTATATAATGTATGCTTATCTGATTAAAATTCTTTTTGGTCGATATAATTTTCATTTCCTTCCATGAAACATTGATCGAACCTTAAATTCAAATGTTAAATAATTGCATCCAAAGCACTTAACCTAGGCAGTAATGTGCATATATATATATATATATATATATATATATATATATATATATATATATATATATATATATATATATATATATATACATATTTAATAGTCTGAAAAGGCTACAAGACCCACAATAATCCTAAAAATATACCATAAAAGAGGCACTTTTCCACCCTCTCTTACAGTGCACAGTTCTTGACAGGCGAGGGAACTCGACATGTGAGAGGCGGGTGATGGGGGAGGGGCTAAGGGGTGAGGGGAAAGGGGGAGAGTGCTCTGGTAGGGGAAATGGGGGGATGGGAGGGTGAGGGAAGAACGGGGCATGGGTTAGTGAGGGGAGAGTTTAGTGGTTGGGAGAGGAAAACAGGAAAATATACCGGGATGAGAGAGGAGAGGACGCTTCAAAGCCCTGTTACCGAGAATGACAGCAAGGAAAATGTAACCGGCGCACACGCACGCCCGAACGCACACACACACACACACATATTAGGTCCTCGCGCCGAGTGGACAACGCTCAGGAGTCGTTGTTTTGAGGGCCTAGGTTCGATTCCAGGTCGAGGCAGAAACATATGAGCAGAGTTTCTTTCACATAATACCTGTGTTCACCTTGCAGTATATAGGTACCTGGGAGTTAGACAGCTGTTACGGGCTGCCTCCTGGGAATGTGTGCATGATAGAAATATAGTCAGCACACTCACACACACCTGTGCATTATGTCCAACAACTAGAATAGTATAAAATACCAGTGTGGAGTAGTAATCCAAAAGGACAACGCGAAGTTCTTATATAACTAAGCCTAATGATATGTGGAGAGAGATTAAATAGATGGGACATGATCTAGATATGCAAAATACTCAGAAACCAGGATTGAACAGAAAAGCAGTGAAAATGCATGCAGTACATGAAACCTAAAAACACTGTTGAGGTATTTGGACGTGAGTAAACAATTCTTCAGTGTTGGAAGCAAGAAATTGGAATAAACAATAACATGACATAAAGGTTAGCTGCCTCCATAATTTAAGGATATGGGAAGAAACGGAGGAGAGTTTGGGTGATTTCTATTTCATTACCCGGACAGTTAGAAAAACTGGGCCTAGGATCTAAATCTCGCTCCGGCAAAATCTGTCAAGGGGAATATGCCCTAAGAAGAAACAAAGAAGGCGTGAGCAAGATGAACACTAAAATACCGTAGAGTATAAAAAGAATAAGATATTTTAACAAAACGACATGAACGAGAAGACACAAGTTGAAAATTATCTTCAATGAGGTAAATGAATACAAGGAAGTATACCAAGGAGACAGAGACTAAAATCTAATATTATTAAGGGCACTGTATCCTTTTGTGAGGTAAGCAGTAGGTCACTAGAAAGGTAAATAGTAGACAGAAAAGAAAATTGAAAAACATAATAAGTAAAGATAGACAAAAAAGATTAATTAATCGGCTAATCCAGTGCCACATATTCATATCTGGATACATAAAGATTAGGACCAGTACAGCAGACTCATCACTCATCCTATGGATCAGTGAAGGGAATTGGGATGGTCATCGCACTTGACCGGCGACTTAAGAACACGGGCATGAAAGAATGAAGCTCGATCCAGTAGGTGCCAATGGGCAGGCGCACGCACATTCACACTTGAATGACTGAGACGTAAGAAAAGTTGGGTTGAGAAGATGCGTGAAGAAGGATAAAATGCCGGAGGTAAAGTTTTTGTCTCCGGCTAGAGGTTGTGATGGGACTCTCGTTGGCTGTCGAAACACATTTTTACTTTAAATAACCGAGTTTATGGCTTTCTGAATTGTTTATACTAAAGTCTTTGAATGTTTACATTGTCTTAAGTAAATACGTACACATGCGTATGGACGCAGATAAATACACGCACGCAAAAACAGAAATAATACACACAACTCAAACGTCATGCAAATATACACAAAGTAAGTAATTATCAAAAGAAGGCGCCCAGAAATATACATAGAGAGGCAGGAGACACTCAACTACAAACCATAGTTTTAACATGCATTGGTTACCATGCAAAGTACGGGATATATGTATAATGAAGACAATACGAGAACTCATTGAAAACAGCAGAGAAAAAGATACCCCTGCCAGATAAACCTTCTGTAATTATTTCAATGATTCTTGGATAACAGACAAGAAAAGCGAGGATGCTATAAGACCAAGAAAAAGTATATGGAATTTTGTTTACAAACGTATAGTAAGCTATTTCTCAAACGTATAGGAGACGACCAGTTACAGACCCGCTCTTGTGCCAGGTAAGTCCACTACGGGCTCACCATAGCCCGTGCTACTTGGAACTTTTTGTTCCAAGTAGCTGAATCTAAAACAACAACGTGTAGGAGACTACCCAGCAGTTATAGAGTAAAGCAGCTAACAGGTGTGTACGAAATTTATACACCAGTTACCTAACTTAACTTACTAACTTATTGTTCTGTTCTACTAGCAAAGTACAGTGTTATTATTTTGTTCTGCTGTCTTGGTTCACAGTTATTGTTTTGTTCTGCTAACTTGATCCTATTATTATTTTTTTCCGCTATCTTGTTTACACTGCAATCTTAATATTATAGTTTTACTTTTCTGTTGACATCCTCTCATCCTGCGATTCTACTGACTTCCTTTCACTTTCCCATCACGTTTCCCTTTTGGCCGCATGCAATGAACGAGAGTAGAGCGAACAGGCCAGGGATAACCAGCGATATTTATATCGAAATTGTTTACATTAGCCTTATTAGACATTAATGAGTAGCTGGTGGCGGGGTCTGGTATAACGCCCACGAGTGTGTATTGAAGAGGAATGTGGGTGGGGAAAAGAAAGGGGTTTGAAGTATATAAATGGATAAAAAGCTAAAGTAAATGGGATACGCAACAAAGAGTTTTCGTGAGCTAAATCTTACAGTTTAGAGTGAGAGTATGAACAGGTTAAAGATTTTCACTGAAAGATTCAAGAGCAGTGTGAGCATCAGGTGTGGGAGAGATGGGGGTAGAAACTGTACGTAGAAGCGAGAAGGAGAGAGGGGAGGAAGTAGGGGCGAAATGGATGAAGGAGGGAGGGAAACAAGAGGGAGCAGGGCAGGGGGAGAGGGGAGAGGGAGCAGGAGAGGGAGGGAGGGAAGGAGGAAGGCGTTGTGAGACAACCAGCTGGGAGTTGATACCGGAGGGGAAGAGTGAGTGAGGGGTGGCAGGGTGAGGCCAATGATAAGATAATGAGAGATTTGGGGAAAATGAGGAAAGGTGAAAGAAGGCGATGAGAGTCAAGTATTGGACTAATGAGGTGGAGGGAGTGATGCGAACGAAGTAAACCATAATAAGGAAATAAAATAAGGTGATATTTATGGAAAGAAGAATAGGAAAGTAAAATATAGAAACAAAGAAGCCAAGATAAAATGAGAAGTGCAAACATAACAAAATCAATATGAAGATGAAGATTAAAGAAACAAGAACCATAGTTCCTACTATAAACCAAATTGTCTTTATCCTTCAACTGTTACCAAATGCTCTAAGACTTTTACTATGACTTAAAAATAGCCCGAGGTAACCAGCGGGTGCGTTCCTGGCTCTGGCACCACTGCGTCGTGTAAACACTGGGGCAAACATCAACAGGAGCCTCCAGCAGGATTGTTGTTACTCAACATATCCAGGGCGGTAAATGAACCGCTCGTGGGCTAATTAGGATAATCATCGGCCTTCTGTCAGGGGCCAGCAATGGTGATGGATATTTGCTTGCGTTGCAAATTGGCGGTGGTTAGGAAGCTGAGGTGTTTTGAGTTGATTAACATAAATATTGATGGCTGATGCAGTATCCATTGTCCTATGCATCTCATTATGCAATGATGGATTAGTAGATGGATGGATTTTGAAGAATGGGTTATTTAGAGGGCAAAGTTCCCCACTCAGCAATGAATAACAGAATAACTAGAAGAGGATGAAACATTATATATATATATATATATATATATATATATATATATATATATATATATATATATATATATATATATATATATATATATATATATATATATATATATATACATATATATATATATATATATATATATATATATATATATATATATATATATATATATATATATATATATATATATATATACATATACATATATATATATATATATATATATATATATATATATATATATATATATATATATATATATATATATATATATATATATATATATATATATATATATATATATATCATACCTAGTAGCCAGAACGCACTTCTCAGCCTACTATGCAAGGCTCGATTTGCCTAATAAGCCAAGTTTTCATGAATTAATTGTTTTTCGACTATCTAACCTACCTAACCTAACTTCTTCGGCTACCTAACCTAACCTAACCTATAAAGATAGGTTAGGTTAGGTTAGGTAGGGTTGGATACATTAATTTCAACTCCAATTAAAAAAATTGACCTCATACATAATGAAATGGGTATCTTTATCATTTCATAAGAAAAAAATTAGAGAAAATATATTAATTCATGAAAAATTGGCTTATTAGGCAAATCGGGCCTTGCATAGTAGGCTGAGAAGTGCGTTCTGGCTACTAGGTACGACATATATATATATATATATATATATATATATATATATATATATATATATATATATATATATATATATATATATATATATATATATATATATTTGTATATATGTTCACAACAGGTAATCTGAATCTAACATGGTATCGAGACATGTTTTATAACAAAATCTAATTTCTTGCTGAGTTCAATTCAGTCTTTTGTAATCGTTACTTCAGTGAGTTTATATTTTACACAAATGTCATACTGACTCAGTTCATAATGATCGGAAAATGGTTAGTGTAAAAATGAAGTGAAGGAAAACTAATTCGCAAAATAAAAAAGAAAACGAAATACA